CACCAGAAGGAAGACAGTGCCACACCAGCCTTCTGAAGTGTTCTCCTGGGTGTGTCCATGCAGAGAAGCTACTGAAGGGCCTGTTGTCTGTCTGCTGACTTGATGGCCCCAATGGGGAAATCTGGCTCTGAAGACTTGAGTCACAGTGTAGTCACATCCATACCAAAGCCATTGCTTAATATCCAAGAGCAAACACTATCTTAGGAGATCTTCAAAGCACAGGCAGAGAACATCCTTTCAAGTGGTAGAGGCTAAGGTCAAGGTTCAGCACCAAGCAGTGGAACCCAAAATGTTGGAGGCATGTATGGAATGATAATGAAATGGCTCCTCCTCTCTGTTTTCTTCATGAAAGCTTAATTGGTTGTTAAAATGAGGCTTTTGGTCTTGCTGAGCCCAGAAATCTCTGAGCCTGGCTTCCTGGCAAGCAAGACTCATGAGGTGAGAACAAGTTTCATTTCTCCAGGATCTGTAATCAGACTCCCGCCTATATAAACAGTTAACTTTGGGAATAGAAGTGAGTACAGAGTCCCTTTAAACTCCTTTCTGCCTCCCTCCTGGTGCCCACCGTGTTAGCTACTGAGTTGGAACTTAGTAAATGTGTGTGGATGGATTTGGTGCCCTGCTGTGGCAAAATGGCTTGTGTTTTGTTTTTAGTCATGACACGTGTGCTAATTTCTCTCAACCATGTCCACTACCTTTTTTTTAAAAAAAAAGGATTCTAGTGGTGGTTAGAGTGCTACTATTAACTTGCTGTGTGCTTTCTTCCTTTTAGTAGATGTCGGGTTGCAAGATTACTTGGTCTGATGTGGGATTGTGTTCTCCAGTAGAGCTAGTACGAAATAGCGGGGCACAGGTTTCTCAAGTGCAGGGCACTGGGGTCAAATCCAGACTTCAGCACTCTGTGTAACCTTGGACACATTGCTCAGTGTCTCTGTTCATCAGTTTGCCCATTTCTATAATGAGCATCATGGTAGTATCTACCTCCTAGGATGGTTACAAGGGGTCAGTGAAATGATAACGTGTCTAGAGAGTAAGCCCATGTTGGAACATGGTAAAAACTTCAGTTGTTAGTCATCAGTTAATTAATAGCATAGTAAGTTACTAGTTCTTAACAGTATTCGTGTCTGTTCCAAACCTTGGTCAACTAACAGACCCATGGGTTAAAGTTCAGAATAAACTGGAGGAATGAAAATGGTCATTATCTCTGCGCAAGAGGATTCTGAGAAATCCTTTTCATTAACATTGTAATGGTGTTTAAGTAGACTCAGAAGGGCCAGTACATTTGGCAAAGAGAGATGAAATCTAACTCCTATATAGTATAAGACCTTGGTGGTAGAGTATTTCCTTTGCTTGTCATAATGTACAGTTCATGTGGAGTGTGGCACATAGTAGGTCCTAAATCATAGCCATGAATTGTAGTTCAGGTTCCTGGGGTATATTTGCATATTTAGAGTAGGTATCCTTTTGTTTCCAAGGCTGGACTGGTAGTACATTATGATTTCATTCTATTAAGGTCAGTCTTTAGAAAGTGTATCAGTTGCCACAATGATGGCTGTGTAACAAATCACCCTGAAACTCAATGGCTTGAAACAGTAAGTGTATATTCTGTATGTGTCTGAAGGTTGGCTGGTCAAGTCTGGAGAGGGCTTCAAGCTGCAGGTTGGGTGTGGGTCTGCTCCATGTGTGTCTCTTCCTCCTTGCACCAGCAGGATACCTGAGGCATGTTCTCATGGGGATGCCAAAAGCACAAGAGATCCTGCTGAATCACGCAAGCATATTTCAACCTTCTGCTTAGGTCTTGTTTGCTAATCTCCCCTTGGACAAAGCAGATCAAATGGGCAAGCCCAAGGTCAAAGGATGGGGGGAAACACTCTGTAAAGAAACTCAAAGTCACATGACCAGAGGGTGTGGATATAGGGAGTGGTGAAGTGTGGAGGCCACTAAATCTGCCTGCCTAGTTCCCTATTTGACTTCCCCAATTTAGTCATTGCAATAGATGATATGAAAGGGCTTTCCTTGCTCTAGGCAGTTCCGTAGCCCCACTACCTGCATTAAGATTCTAAAAGCACTCCACTGTAGCATCCGAGCATGTTGCAAATTCCCCTTTGGTCTCCAGGAGCCTTTCCCCTGACAGACAGAAATTTACTCTACTGTAAACCAAAGAGTCCCAGTTTAGACAGACAGGATAGATTAGGCAGACAGCATCACTGACCCGGTTCCACTTCGTTAGCCTTTCCAATTAAGGAGGATGTTGCTGAAAGGGAGACCTCACAGATATATAGCCATACCTGGAATCTTCTGGATGGAGCTTATGCAGGGAGAGGCTTAGATTTTGAGCGTGCACAGAGGAAGGAGAGTGAAATGATGTCGGCAAGTGAATCCTAAGTGTTAATAACGTGGCCACTTGGGGGTAGTACTCTATCTTCTTCCCGGCCAGGTCCTTAACATGCTAAGTAGATACTACTGGACCCCTGACCATGTGCTAGGACGGTTTCTGATCTTGGAATAACCAATAAAGAGTTGGTGCTCTACTAGAATCTAGGGATCAGCTTTGGGTTTTGCCAGTACAGTTGACAAGTGGACCGAGTTTTCTGTGGTTTCCCAAGGACGATCTTTTCAAGGGAAGTTGTTCATAGGAGTTCAGGATGGCATTCTCCCCTCTCCACCCCTTCAAGATTCTGAGCAGTGAAGCATAAGCCCCAAACAATAGCCAAATGGGCTGTGAAGTACAACTTAATTAATCTGGGCGTGCACCCAACACCCCAGGGCCATTCTTCACTGGGGCCTGGCTTGGAAAATGAGGCTAATATGTGAGTCTGAGAGGTGGCTTCTTATCTTCTAGCCAAACCTAGATGGCAGAATCTGAATTTGGGGAGAGAGACACACACAGGCTGACTCAGAGCTGAAGAGTACTGTGGCATGCCTTCACGGCGCAGCGCACCCGACACCTGAGTCTCACCCTGAGACCAGGAGAACAGCCTTGGCTCCCGAAGACAAGTGGGCCCTGTCCAGTGTACTTGATACCCAGGAACAGGGTTCATGGCTCCCATGTGTGAGGATGACAAGCCTGGTCCAAGGGGGCTCCGTGAAGAATAGCTCAGACATGGAGGCCTCGGACTTGAAAGCGGCTCAGCGAAGGTCCTCACCCATATAGCAGCCCCTTCCTCACCCTGGGGAAGGAGTTCGTAAGGGCTGGCAGAGAGAGGCCATAAAATACTGTCTTCAAGACTTCTCCAAGGCCAAGGCTGCAGTGTCCAGAGAGGGGGAGGATTCCCCTCAGCATCTTCCTGAGTCTGAGGAATATTCCAGGCCTGGGTAGAACGTAGACATGGGAGTGAGCTGTTCTCCTGGTGGTAAGCTTGGAGCTGTACAATTGAAGAATTGCTGGGAGTGGGATTCAGAGCCAGAATCGGAGGGAGGGGGGGCAGGTAGAGGAAAGGAACCCCTCATCTTGAAGGAAAACAACCTCAGAACTATCCAGAGCTGAGGGTAACTTCGGCATCATTATAAACATACCACAGAAGAATCCTCAAGAAAGCGAGTGACCGTTTACCTAGGGTAGGGGTTTAAAATGTTAACAAAATTTTATGTGTACACTACGGTGTTGTTAACCACAACCACAGTGTCCTAACAGCTGAACGCCAGAGCATAGACCCCCCCCCCCCACATGACTGAAACTTGATACCTGTTGAGTAGCGACGACTGCCCATTCCCTTGCCCCCAGCTCCTGCCATCCACCCTTCCACTCTCTGTTCCCGTGAATTTGACTGTTGGAGATGCTTCATAGGAGTGGAATCATGACATTTTCCTGCCCATGTTTATTGAAGCCATAAAACAGCCAAGATAGGGGAACAACGTCAATGTCTTTTGATGGGTGAAAGGATCAAGATATTGCATACAGTGAAATGTTACTCAGCCTTAATAAAGAAGGGAATCCTCCCATATGTGACAACAGGGATGAACCTTGAGGACATGACACTGAGATAAGTCAGACCGCAGAAGGATAAATAGAGCCTGATTCCTACACTTCCTTCTTATTCACCATCGAATAGGCCAGGGGGTTCTCACTCTCATGGCTTCCTAGAAGCCTGTTTTGCAGAATCTGCTTGCCTAAAAGCAAAGCTTCCAAACTGACTTTGCTCCCTAGGGCCCTAAAGTCATGCCCATTCTCTATAAGAGGCAGCTTGAGGTTGCTTTCCCAGAATCCTGAATCCAAGGTGGTGAAGTTCAGAGCTGACACAGTGCAGACAAAAATAGCCTTTATGTGCCCAGTTTCCTGTTTTCCTTGGAAACCACTTGCTGAAAAACACCACCTCCTCCTCACCAGTTCCTCCCTCCTCTCTACCCACCCTGCCCCCCACCTAAAGAGTTCATGTTTAATGACCCGCGACATTACCACCAAGCATTTCCAGTCAATTGGCTTTTGTAGGGAGTGAATGAATAGGACTTTTCTCTGGCCTTCTCTATCCTGAAAAGGCTCTTCCCCAGCCCATTGGAATGTGCTGTGAAAACGAGGAATTAAGCTCTTCTTTTTCTGTCTTTTCTTTCCCTCATTTTTTCTAAGACCAGGCATAAATTGGTGGCCTTTCCCCTAATCGAGACTCTATATTCTTTCAGGTACACCTCACATCGTCTTGCGGGATCCATCCTCTCTTTTATATTAGAGGATTTGAACACACTTTGAGATAATTGGCGAGCATGCTTTCTTTCACATTTCCTTACGCCTGATCATTTTGTGTGATCTCCATGCTGGTGTCCCTTAATCTCTTACTGAAAACCTTGAGCCTCCTTAATCATCTGGGTGTAGGAGGATGTTGGGGGCAGACTGGGGATTGGGTCAAGCTCTTCTACTATGTCCTGGAATGAGGGAGACCATTGGGCAGCCCTCACTGTGGGCTTGTCACACCCTGAAGAGCTTTAGCTTTGTTTGAAAACGGTAATGGAGTTGTAGGCTAAGTTCCCCCCATCGCTTACATGTGTTTTCTTCTCTCTCCCTGCAGGACCCTCATCCAAGTCCACCGATCACCCTGGAGAGCCAGGTCAGTACCTTCCCGTGGTCTTCCTCCCTTATCCTGCACCAGCTCTCTAGGGGGCTTGGTGAACCCTCTTGGCTCAGAAAGGGTGGACAGGTAAATCAGACCGCCAGCCTGCCCATTGAGGTGTGTGCAAGCATGCACGTGGGGGGTGCACAAACCAGCTGATTGTGTGTGCACTTGCGTGTGAACTCAGGTATTTGCATTCCCATCTTCTGGCCCTGAAAAGTGACTGAGCCTCTCAGCCTCCCTCTTCCCATCTGGAATATTCCCACAATGGCAGTGCCTACCTTGCAGCATTGTGGTGGGCACAGCAGAAAATGGTGTGTGTGAAGTCATCAGTATGTCCTAAGTGCTGGTGAGGTAGCTTTTGAAAACAATAGACTGTTGCTTTTCTGGCTGGGCTTGAAGGGGAGGGATCTTTGGATTGATCATTTCCTGGGCTCTGAGGGTCACACAGTAGAGAGAGGAGGCAGGATGGACCCCATCCAGAGCCCTGTCTGTCCAGTGTCTGAGACAGGCAAGCCTGTTGGAACATGACAAGTCGGTAGAGCAGCGCTGTGGCTCTTTCTGGAATTGTCTGGCAAGGGCCACCTGCCTGTCTCCCCTCCAGCCTCCCCCACGGGCTCCTCTTCTCTCACCGTCTCTGCCTCAGTCTCCCCAAGGGGAATGAACAAGCCCTGTACCCCCACTTCTCCTTCCCTGATCAGGAAGGCCACACTCGGTGGGAAAATGGAGTCCTCTGCCTTCTCCTCTTCCCTGCACATACATTCAGTTATGTCTGCTTCAGGGATGACCGAGCAACAGAGCAGTGGGTGTGACTTTGAGTAGTATAAAGACTCCGTTGCCTCCCCGTGTTGGGCCATCCCCTGGTTCCTCCCAGACCTCTGCCCTTGACCTGTCACCTTAGTCGTGTTTGCCACATGTGAGTCACACCTGTTCTAAGTCACCTAAAAGTACATTGGCCTTAAATCAACTTACTTCACTTTGAGAAGGGACCTACCCTAAGCTAATGGTTCCCAGTCAAGGCTGTCTTTGACCTCCAGAGGACATGTGACAATGTCTGAAGACCTTTTTAGGTACCTCACCTTGGGCGTGGGGAGGTGACTTCACCAGGGTCGCAGGCGGGGAGGTAGGCACCAGGGATGCTGCTAAACTTCGGGCAGTGCACAGGCCACACCCTCCTCCACGACCAGCCCCCACGCAGAGAACAACCTAGTCTAAAAATATCAGTAATGCCAACAATGAGAAACGCTCTCCCACAGGATAATAGTGGTGAAATCACAAGCATGAAATCGCATGTTGGTTAGATTTTTGTTTTTTGCCAAACATTAAGAATTAATAAGAATTAAACTATTATTCAGTAGTTAAATATGATTATTTAAATATTAGACTATTAAATATAAAATAAAAAACAATAGAACTTAAAATATTAAACTGTTAAACTATTAAAGTAAACATGAAGCTATTAGTTAAATATGATTAAATATTAAACTATTAAATATAAATATAAAACTATACAAAAGTAGAAAATTTAAAATATTAAAATACAATTGAAAGGTTCCTTTTGAGTGCCCTCCACAATCATCTATGAACACTCACGACATTTGTATGTAAGCTGCGCTTGGGAAAACACGGCTCTCCCCAGTCTACTCCGTGGATTACCAGAGAACTTCCAGGGTATGGTTTCATTTTTTATTACTTTTAAATTATTTTTTAATTGCTATTTTTGAGAGTTGGAGCACAAGTTGGGGAGGGACACAGAGAGGCTGTGAAGCAGGCTTGAGGCTCTGAGCTGTCAGCACAAAGCCCAATATGGGGCTTGAACCCACAAACCGGGAGATAATGACCTGAGCCGAAGTTGGATGCTTAACCAAGTGAGCCACCCAGGCCTCCTGGGGTGTGATTTTAAATGATGGCCCTTCTCTTTATCAGTCCTTCCTCAGAGGAAACCTTAGTAGACTCAGGAGAGGCCCTGGGCAGATGGTCTGTGTCCAGAACTACAAAAGGCAAATCTTAAACCCCACGGTGGAGTGGCTGCACCCCAGATAGTTATCTCTGTGGTCTTCTTGTACTTTTCACTGTGGAATCCATCCAGTCAGCCCTTCAGAACCTCCATGGGAAAGAACTGCGACGTGCCGATGGCTATTGTGAGGGTGACAGCTTGCCCCTACACAGTGACCTCTCTTAGACCTGAACCCCCATGCCCGGCCTGCCACAGCACAAGACAGGCTTTCTGTGTTGATGCCATGCTATCAGGGAGATGACACCCCTTGTCTCCAGCACCACTCCATGAGCCTCATCTGGCTCTTGTCTCTGGGAAGCAGTAGGATGTTGTCGTCCCCGAGTTCTAGCTGCCTGTGTTAAAGAGACTTGGGAACCCAACCAAAGCACTGATGTTTTTCCGTAACTGTTGGCACAAGCCCATGGCCAGATCTTCCACTGTGCTGGGCCCCAGTCCATCCTGGGACTCACAATGGGATCCTGTGCAGCTGCCTGCAGGCAGGTCAGACAAGAGGGGCATGGATGGGTTTCCTGGCAGAGAGTGGCACCCCAGATATTACCCATATGGCAGGAGCGAGACAGCAGATGTGGCTGAGCTTGGAGAAACCATCCATGCAGAGGTAAGTGACAGATGTCGGAAGTCTGGCTCGGTTCCTGCTCCGTTTCCTCAGCCCCCTTTGCTCCTGAGACGGGCATTCCCTGCTCCTACCTAGAGCACAGGCATCACGGGTAGGGCCTGCCTCTGAGTCCCCATGAGCCGTGTCTGTACATCACCCATCTGTGGCTCCACTCGCCCAGCGCCCAACTTGTGTAGAGTGTAGGGCCGCTTCCCTCCATGCGTTCGCTGGGTCCCACCAGGACTTGGTGAGTCTGCCCTCATGCACCTGTTGCGAGGTTGGGGGGATAGATGGGCTGCTGAGGGCTCCCCTAATGCTCTTTGCCTGCAGCAGCACGGAGCTCTGCATCTGTTGGCATTAGCTGGACTCGCTCTGCTTAGTGGCCAGATTGATAGAATGAGGAAGCTCAGCACGGTTTAAATCTGTGGTGTCAGCTTTCCCTCAGCAGGCTGCCCCTGAGGTGCACCAGGGGAGTCCTGACTTGCAGTGGAGAATGCCTGCCTAGTCTCCAGATGGTGGTTACCAGGAAACAGAGGATGTAGTAATGAGAAAGCCAGTGTGAAAGGAGTGTGAATTCGGTTCGTGGCATTATCGTGATCCCTGCTCACACTGACATTGACCATTTGCCAAGAAATGGCTGCTCCCATCGAATCCTCATGTGGAACCATTATGTAGGTGTTCTCGTGATACCCGTTGTCCAAATGAAGAACCTAAGGGTCAGAGAGGTTAAGTAATTTGCTCAAGGTTATGCCGGAAGCACATAGCATCGGTGACTGTCAAACTCGGGGTCATAAGATCTCAAAATCTATCTTCTCAACTTCTATCGTATTTTTCCAGGAAAAAAAAAAAGTTGCCTGACTGGTAGATTTGAAATAGCTCAGACAGAGCTGGAGGGAACAGGCTTGATGTATACAACCCAAGGTCTAGATAGAATACTTTGCACAAGGATCCCCAGATGTACTTAGATAAATAGGTAGAGAGAGATGGATGATAGGTGAGTAGATGCATAGATAAATAGATACAATGCTTTGCACAGTGAGTAACTCTCTGACAGATAGATTGCCACAAGGCTTGGGGAGAAAATGGTTTGAACAATGGAGCCAAGAGAAAATTTATCTTAAAACAAAAATGTAACCTCTCCCTGCACATCAGTAGTGTTTTGGTAAATTTAAATGCTCATTAGTTGATTCTCTCTTTCTCATTGATCCTCAAGATGGTTTATCATTTCTGAACCCACTCCAATTTGGCATGGCTCTTGTCATTTGATTTTAGCTTCTTTGCCTGCCTTATCCCCTCCACCATCACTGCCCCCCCACCCCCGAACAGCTTCACTGTCAATTAGTTAATGGCCTCTCCTCAAATACTGAGATACCCTGGGAGCTGTAATAAAGGAACTCATAGTTAGAGCAAAGATTTGTCAATCTGGCTATTTGTGAAGTTGGCTGTACTTACAAGGGAAACAAACCTTCGTTTACATTGAGATTTCTCACAGGACCCGAAGATCAAGAGCATCAGGAGGAAAACTCCTGATTGCTCAGTGTCCAGCAAGCAACCAGGTACTTGAATGTCTTTGATCCACTAACTGGGAGTGTAAGAGGAGGGAGTTGACTGTATTCATTTTATTTAAAGATGATGCCAGGGCCATGAAGATTGTGAGCAGAGCTCCAGCAGAAAATGAGAAGTGGGTGGTAGGAAACTGGTACTGTAGGAATTACGCCTATGCAAATTCATTCATCCATTGGCTGACTCAAATAAATAGTTCTGGGGCCAGGAGGAGGCCAGCCCTTGTGCTAGATGCTAAAGATACAGCAGTGAACGAGACAGAAAGTTCCCTGCCTATAGAGCACCTGCTCTGGTTGGGGGAGTCAGCCAGTGAACTTCTGACTAAATCCCATAACTTCAGGTAGTAATAAGTGAACAGAAATACAAGCAGGTGTGTAAGCAGGAGGGGCTGGGTGCTGCAGAGAAGCTTCTCCACGCAGGGTTCTCTCTGGAGGGGCCGTTTCAAGCTCAGGAACAGATTTTAGCTGAGCACTTACAGTGGAGAAAGAGTTAGAAGGCAAAGAGACCATAGTGATAGCGTTCTGAACATTTTGCATATTCTATCTGGGCTCCTATAAAAATAATGCCACTTTTCCTTAGAATCAATTAAAGTTGTTAGCTTCTTCGAGCTCCTTCAATGCCTTTGTGTCATTAGAACGTCGAGATGAATAAGGAATTACCTTATCAGGCAAGGGTGAAGGGAAAGGACTGGTAAGGGGGGTGGAGGGAGAAAAGGTGGTCACATTTGGAGCTTCCCCGTCAAGCTGATGGCCAGTGCCTCCTGCCAGGGTCAAAGGAACTTATTAGCTCCTAACATGCTATGCAGATAATGGGGACCCAGGT